CACTCCCCTCCACGAAACCCATCAGGTCCAACTCAATTTCCCCAATCCCTGCAGTGTCCCAGACAAGCCCTGGGACGCTGCAGCCCCAAAGCAGCCCCTGCTCTACCCCAGCAGAGCAGAGCTGGGTGCAATTATGCTTCACTGCCTCTCCTCTCTCACTGCAACTCCTTTGCTCTGCTGAATTGCTTCCCCTTCAGCCCCACACACCATCCATTGCACCGTAATTGCACGGGGATTTTAATATCTGATGTATTTATAAGATGCACTTAATTCATCAGCCCCTTTAAGCGCGCTGTCAGCGCAGCCCTCAGCACGGTGGGAAGGATGACTCGCTGTCAGATGGAGATTAGCTGGCCCATGTGTGTAACGAGTTGGAGGGAGTTCTCAGCCCAGCTGAGAGATCCCACTGCCAGATCCCCCCATGCCAGGTGCCCCAAGCCTCCAGGGGATTGTGCCAGGGCTGCCCTGTGCTGCTGCAGAGACAAAGGGCAGCACGATCCAGAGACTCCTCCTGAACATTTGAGTCATCCAACAGGTTGGAATTTGGCAGAAATGAAGGGCCTGTGTTGGGGTGAGTTTTGTCCCTACAGCCCAAGCACTGGAGGCTCCCCAAAGTGCTCCCTAAGGCGAGGGATCTACATTCAGATCCCAGGAAGAAAGTAGCCACTGCTGAAGGCTGATTTTTCCTGGCATTTGTTTTGGTGGCTCCTTTCCAGCCACGTCCTAAAAGGGAACCAAAGGCCTTTGAGCCTCTTGCAGGGAGCACAATGCAATGATTTTCCCAGCCCAGGCAGGAGGGATGAGCTCACTGGTGTCCTTGGTTCCCCCTGGCTTTGGGGTGCAGGGTCCCTGTGCCGAGCAGGGATGCCCAGGAGGGCAGGGGACTCAGCAGAATGCTGGGGGTGCTGGAGCTCCATCCCTGCAAACCCTGGCAGAAATGCCAGCTGAGCCTGGGAACGAGGGGCAAAGGGGGAGACAAAAGGGTGGTCTCACTGCCTCTGTCCCTGGGGCCACCCTGCCTGTCACTGATGGATGACACCACATATTTCACACTGGGATCACTCTGGGATTTCCCACAGCCCTGCAGGGACATCCATGCTGCCCTGCCGGGCACCTCTGAGGGCAGGTGGCACTCACAGCTGGTGGCATTGCCATGAGGCACCAAGGAGGCACAGCCCAGCTGCTGGTGGCACTGGATGGTCCTGCACGAGCAGGATGGGCCAGGGACCCACCATGTCCCCACAGCACCGGGCGACCTTTGGGACACCGACCCTCCTCCTGCTTCCAGCCGGAGCAGAGCTGTCACAGAGTGGGACTGTGGTGACATTTCAGCTGGGGAAGGACCTCCAGCAGGTACCACCCTGAGCCCCTGGGCCCACCCACAGCCCCTGGGGCTCCCAGGGCTGGCTCAGATCCCAGGTGCACCCCAGCACTTGGCAGTGGTCAGGCACGGTGACACACTGGTGACACGCTGGTCCCCTGCCAGACCACGGCCTTGGCACAACCTGGCAGGGAGCTCCCAGCTCCAGCACCCTGTGGCTTCCTGGGCACTCAAGTTGGGACACGAAGGGTGCTGCAGCCAGCCTGGTGTCCCCTTAAGGCCCGTGCCATGTCACACACACTCCAGAGCTGCACCTCCCTGCCAGGCTGCTCCGAGTGCCAGCACGTCCCTGTGGCCTGTGCCAGCCCTGAGTGGGAACACCAGCTCTGGGAACAGAGCTTGGGCCGAGCTGGGGCATCTCCAACCCAGGGTTCTCCGAGGAGCTGGTAATTCCCCGTCCTCTCCCCACCCAGAGAGTCCCTGGTACCTGCTCCCACAGGATGTTACAGCCTCCTGCCTCAGTTTCCCCACCTGCACCGTGCTCTCCGTGAGGGTAGAGACAGCACTGTGGGTGGCAGGGGGTGCAGCTGGGACTCCAACCTGACCTCTTCCTTAGGACCAGGGCAGGGCTCTCTCTACTGTCCCCATCCCCAACCCCTCCTTCCACAGGGTGCTGCACCCAGGGACAACTCTGGCCCCCAAGGTCACTGCCAGAAGGATCTGGGAGCAAACACCTCAACCTCACACCCAGCCAGCCCTACCAACCACCCTCTCCAGATCCTGGCCACTCCCTGAAGCTCAGCTACCCTGCAGGTGTCCCCCTCCCTCCTCCCTGTCCCCAAAAAGCAAATATCCAGGGAGATGGGCTCGCGCTGCAGCTCCGCCGGTGGCACTGGCGCTGAGCAGAGCAGACACTGCAGCACGGCCGTTACGTAAGCCCGAGCCAGCTCTGGGGATGTAGGACACCAGGGTTGTCCCCCGGCCCCCCCCCGGGGCTGCCACCCCCACCCCGCCCCAGCCACGGGGCTTGGGAGTTTGGGAGAAAAGTCCCATCAGCTCAGCCCCGTCTGCAAGGGCTGCAGGAGGGGCTGGGGTGGCCCTTGGGTGGCTGTGGCCCTGTCAGGGGCACACGGGGGTGGCAGTGGGGGGACAGGAGGGTTGTGCCGCTGTGGGGCAGGGAATGGGGCAAGGGGTGGGGTGGGATGGGGATGGGAGGCAGCGGGTGCTGCACCCACATCCCACTGAGTCCTGCCGGGCTCTCCAGGGCTCAGCCGTGCCGGTGAGAGCTCAGGGCAGGAGCCAGGCGCTCAGGCTGTGACTCCCGGGCTCTGCCTCCCTCGGGGTGACCCACGGAGCAGGATGCAAAGGATCCAGCTCTGATCCCAGCCTGCTGCATCTCTATCCCCATCCTCACAGATCTCTAGGGTCAACATCCCTAAGGACAGCCTTCCTGGGGCCAGCATCCCTGCGATCAACCTCCTGGGGATCAGCGTCCCTGGAACAGCATCCCGGAGAGGAGCATCCCTGTGCCTCCAGCACAAGCTGGGGAGCCACCATCAGGGTTTCCCGGAGCTGAAGGGGAGATCCTTCCCCTGCAGGACAGCCCCGGCCTCACCTGCCCTGCTTCCCTGCGGGGAAACGGAGGGGAGGGATGGCACAGCCGGCATCTCCCGGCTCAGCCATCCCCAAAACACCCATCCCCCGTGCCGGGGGCACGCAGAGGGGACAGGCAGGGCTGGCAGTACCGGGGCTCCCCCGGGATCAGCCTTATCCTGGCTACCAAACCATCGGGATCCCGGCAGCATGCCCTGCCTTGGTGCGGGATGGGGACAGGGATGGGGACACCACGGCCCCACAGTTTGGTGATTTCTCTCTGGCTTTCTGTCAGGCACGGTCTGGATCTGGCCATTTCTGTCTGGGGATGTCGGGGAGGAGAAAAAAGCCCAGGCTAAAGGTCCCAGCAATGGGAGATGCCAGAGCAGGAAATTAATGTTAATTAATTCGTAATGACGCTGAGGTAGTGATACCAGATGCTTCAAAAGTCCAACGGGGGAATCTGAGAGAGCTTTGCAAGAAATCCATCGCCCACCGGCAGTCCTGCCTCACTGCAAGCTGGGAACGAGGGAGAGAGCTGGGAACTGGGATCAAGCTGGGACTGCAGGACCAAGCTGGAACCAGGAAACAAGCTAGGAACGAGCCAGGCATGGTGAAAGAGGGGCACATCCCTGTGAGGTAACAAGCCCACAGTCACCCAGAGCTGTGCAGAGCAGCACTGGGACCCTCCCTGCCACCACACTCCCACCTTTCTCCCTTGCACCCCAACTCAGAAGCTGGAGTGGAGCTGGAGTGACAAGACACCCGCTGAGCGCCGCTCCCTGGGGCACAGGGGCTTCCCAACAACCTTAATGCTCACATTTTCCTCTCCTTTCCTCCATTTCGGGCACAGCAGGGTCAGGGCAGGTGGCCAGGTATGCACTGGGCTCTCAGGGGGATGGAGGAACAGCCTCACGGTCTGGGACAGGGACACAGGTCCTTTGCCAACCAGTGTCCCCACACTCAGAGGACAATTTCTCCCTCCTCATCCATGTGGGCCAGCCTTGCCCTGCACTGCCAAACCCAAAAGGGGCTGGACTTCAGCCAAGGGGTGCAAAAGAGCCCAGAAAGGGGCTTGAGCCCGGTGCCAACTCCCCAGGGCGGGGGATGCCAGAGCCAGCGCCGGGTAGGGTGCAGCCAGGAACTCTGCAAAACCCACAGGCAAAGCCCTGGGCTTGGAGCTGTTTCCCTACCAGGGGGTTATGCTCCTTCCACAGTGATCCAGCAGCTCCTGCACCAGAGGGGACCCTCAGAACGGGGACGTGGCCGAGGCCACGCGGGGCCTGGCGGCGGCAGAGCGCGGTGGCACGGCCGGGGCACGGCGCTGCCATCGCTGCTTACATAAGGTGTCCCCTGCAAGTGCCACACACCCGAGTGTGACAGGAGAGCAGGACAGAGCTGTGCCTCCAGCAGCCCCTCACAGGGACAGCGCTCCCGCTCCTTCTGGAGACAGCACCCCCAAAAGTGCCAACCCAGCCCCTTCCCCCTGCACAGAGGTTGGGTGAGGCTCCCGTGTCTCTCAAGCACATTCCCACCCTAAGAGCCCCTAAAGCTGACGGGAATTGGGTGGAAATGCCGGGTTTCAGCTGGCGGTGCAGCTCCTCCGACAGCTCCTCCGAAGTTTATCCGCAGCAGGAGCATTTCTGCTGCGCTGCTGGTGAAGCCACCCCAGCCAGCAGGGACAGGGGAAAACCCCGCTGTGAGCACCACCAAAAACTACAGAGCACCAGAGGCAGGGAGACACCAAAATCCCACCCCAGCTGGTCCCACGGGAATTGCCACAGCCCCCCTGGGTCATTCCAGCGCTAAGGGAAAAAACTGCTTTGACTTCACAGGCAAAGCAACTCTTCTGGGTAAAGAGCAGCAGAGGCAACACAGGATTTCAAAGTGTGTTTTGGATCAGAGGCAAGAAGTAAAGTGGCCTTTACGGTGCCTTCCCCAGCAAAGCCAGAGCTTTATTAAGCTTATCTGGCATGGATGGGAACGCTCGCTGTTATTCCAGGCCTGAAAAGAGCAGGCAAGGATTTTCTTTTTTTTTCACTTTAATTTTTTTTTTTTTTTAGTCTTGTTTTCATTATTTTCTGGTGGCTTCATTGCTTTGTGCTCACACAAAGGGAATTTCACCTGCTGTTCCAAACAAAAGGCCCTGGAAACTTTTGCAGAGAAGGGGACGAGGGGAAGAAGGTTTGTAGAAGCAAAACGAGTTGTTGCAGGGTTTGTTGTGGATTTTTTTTTTTCACAGTGACCTGTAAAACATCCCCAGCTCTTTGCTGCTTGCAGAAGACCTGGCGCCGACATGTGAGCACCCTGTCCCCAGCAGTGTCACCCCTGGGATGGGAATGGGAAGGTCTCAGAAATTGGGGTTGATTTGGGGTACAGAGGGAAGGCAGCAGGACTGCTTCCCATCTTTTTCACGGGAAAAGTCACGCCACGCTTTCTAAGAACAGGAAAGAAAAGAACCCAGCCCTCGTTTGCTGACACCACAGCAAAACAGGTGGTTCAAAATCACAAGTGCAATGGGGGGGAGAAAATAAACGCTATTTGATGATTTTGTGCTCATATTCACTGCAAAACTGTCCGGGAATGCTGCTAAATACACACCATTTTCCCTCTCACACTCTTTGCTCTATAATTAAGAGGGACTTCTAAAAATACAAACGGCCTCGAGCACCCAGTGAAGGCGTGCAGGTGCTGCTAACTGGAGGCACTTTAGTACAGCTCATTTTCTGGACAATTTTACTCGCCTGGCTCGTGCTCAGCGCCGATACTATTACAGTGATGCAATTATGCTGCTGCTGCTGCTGCTGCTGCTGCTGCTGCTGTTGCTGCTGCTGCTGTGCTTGGCTTGCTCGTGCTTGGCTTGCTTGGATTTTTCCCTGTGCTTTGCAGTTTGCCTCCCAAGCCCCTCCAGCCTCGCAGCTCCCGGGCTCACCCCAAGCGTGTCCCCACCGGCAGCAGCCGGGGATTTGGGGATGAGAGGGTCAGGAGCTGTGTGTGTGTCACACCGACATGTGAATATCCCTGCGTGGGCACCGAGGGGCATAACCCCGCGTGGGCATCACCCAAAACAACCGCTGTGCAAAAGTTTTGGGTGAGGAAGCGAGCTGGCTGGGGGAAGCGAGCAGAGGGGAGCAGGAGCGCGGAGAGGAACCCAAAAAGCAGCAGCAATACCCTCAGTGCTGGCTGGGCAGGGAGGGGGCCCATGGCACTGGCACGGTGACGCCGCTTGGCAAAACATCCCCCCCCAAAACCTGGCATTTGGGGCACAGGGGTGAGGGGGAACTTTCCCCGTGGAGCCGCCGCTGCGAAAGTTCCCCGTCTTATTTCTCCATTGGGGCTGCAATAGGTGGAAGTGATTGACTCACTATGAGACTGCTGTTTTTGCCTCTGACTTGGGATTAAGACGGAGCTGGAGGAGCTGTCGTCGGCAGGCACCGGAGCCGGCACTTACCTCTCACTGCATCCAGCCCCTCCGGCCGTGGGGCTGCGGCTCCTGGAGAGTTAGCTGGCAGGGGACCCCACATCCACTCGGGTTTCTCCCAGGACCGACGTTCGGCTGCTGCTTCTTAGGCACAGACCCAACCCCTCCATTCCGACCACAGGGAGAGGAAAAAAAAAAAAAAATCTTCTTCCAAAAGAAAAGAAAAAAAGAATTAAAAAAAAAAAAAAAAAAGGAGGGAAAATAAAAAAAAAAAAAAAAAAGGGGGAGATTAAAAAAAAAAAAAAAAAAAAGCAAACACGGTTTTTTTTCTTGGTTTGGTTTCCCCGTGGAGAAAAAAAGAAAAATAGATAAATCCCAGCGACCAAGAGATCCAGACTCAGGTGAATTTAGCTTCAAACTCCCTCTGCGCTTTCGGAGCCTTCACCCTCAAATGGGCTCTGGAAGATGCTGGGGGACCCATCGTTGCCAAAGTGTCATCAAATATCCTTCGGGCTCAACTCCGCTCCTGCCCGGGGAGGGTGGACTTCTTCCCTTCTTCCCTGCTTGCTGCGTGCTGTGGAGTTGGCAGGGACCTGCCTGTTCCAGCCTCAGCGTGGAGGGTGGGTGGGTTGGTTGGTTGATGTGGGTTGGTTTTCTTTTTTTTTTTTTTTTTTTTTTTTTTTCTCGCCGCTATTGGTTTCCTTGCTATCTGATCCTGAGCGAGCGCTGCAGCTCGCCGCTTCCCTGCTTTCCCCCCCCACCAGCTCCCAGGCTTTTGACAGGGAATGAAACACAGACACCCAGTGAGACAGGCTCCGGCTTCTACAAAGCTCCACTCCCTCCTGCTGCCTTTGTCCGTGAACAGCAACTCCTCCAACTCTGCCCGTAGACACGAGGGAACCTCTGCATCAGCACTTTCCTAATGGCTGCTTCGCCCCAGCCCTTCGGCCCTTCTTCTTCTTCTTCTTCTTCTTCCTCGCTTCCTCTCCTCTACCTTGATGGCTTCCGCTTGATTTTCTAGCCAGGCTCCGGCAGGCACAGAACTGGGAAGCAACAGCCCTTTCCCGATGGATCCATCTCAGCTCCCCCGCGCCAGCAGCTGCTCTCGGGGGGCAGTGGCCCCACAGCCCATCATCGTCCTTCCTGGACACCTTCCATGAAAAATCAATGGTGGGACAGCGTCCCTGAAGGCTTCACTGTGGGCTGGTTTAAGGGGCAGGGGGCTGCGTGTGTGGAGGGGAGATGGGGGCAGAGGGAGGGCTGAGAATTGGAGCCGCTTCTTTTTATTGCAGGCGGGGATTATTACTATTATTTTTGAAAGATTGACTGGAGTCCAAGTTTGTTTCTTTGGTGGTGAGCATTATTTAAAGCCGTTTGGGAGGCTTTGGGTGTCTCCAGGTCACACTATCCTTATAATAGCGAGGCCTTTTTGGAGAGGGTCAAAGTGAAACCTTGCTCCAGCAGCGTCGTTCCCCCGCGGAGGGGAGCGGGAGGCACAGGGATGCTGCAGTGGGCTCACAACCTCGGCTGGCTCCCAGCCAGAAGGAGATGCAAACCAGCCACCGTCTGTAATTTTTGCTACACTTCCTCCACACTCGGTCACCCGCGAGATCCCAGGGCTGCTGCCTGCTCCTTTTTTGGGGATTCACAGGCTTTGTTCAAAAAAAAAAAAAAAAAAAATCACAGCCAGGAGACCTCCAGCCTCGCCAGCGATGCTCGGCGCTGCTCAGCGTGGCTGTCACGAGCTGGTAGGTCACAGAGAAAACATGAAGCCCCACAGAACACGGTGCATGAAGAGGCTGCCTTCCCCCCCTGCCCTTTGGCAGCCTCTCCCTCACTTTTCCGTGGCTCCCACCACAAGTTTGGGACCAGCAATTCCTCCTTCTCCCCTTTGACAGCATCCTGGAGCAGTGACTCTCCTGGTGCCCGGCTCCCATCCTCTCCTGAGATGGAGCATTTTTCCCTCACTGCTCCCAAACACCCCAGAGCACCTCAGGGCAATGCTCCCAGTGCTGCCTCCACTCCCCTCTCCACCTTGGCTTGCCCCTTCTCTCCTCATTCCACAAACCTCAGAAACACTGATTTTTAACCAACAGCAAAATCCCAGGATGAAAAGCACTGCAGGGCCTTGCCCCAGCCCTGGTGGATACTCAGTTAACAGCAGGGATTTGGGATTTGTGGGTCAGAGGGACCACCAGCTCACACACTGGGCATGGTGGTCTTGTGCAAGACCACCCAGGAACATCCTGGCCCCAAAACACTGCTCCTTTCTGTCTGTCAGGCAGCCCCTCACATGCCAGCTTGCTCCTCCTCTCCTGTCACCCCACCATGCCCATGGAAAGGTTCCCAAATACCTCCCTGCCCCAATGCACAGCCAGAGGTGCCAGACCGAAGTTCCTGACACTCCCTTCAAAAATAGATTAAAAGATTGGGCTGGGAGACTGGCCATGGGCCAGGGGCACCCACTGGGGTGAGGGGAGCAGCTTCAGGGTCCCCCAGTCCAAGACTGGGGCTGGCTGGGAGGGCTGGGTGGAGCTGGGCAGCCACAGCTGGCCAGGCTGGTGCTCCCATCACCTGCCCGTGCTGGTGGCTTGTCCCTCTCTCCCATGTTTGCTACAGGAAATGCAAATTAATAGCCTGGGACTTCCATCCCGGTAAGCCCCAGATTCCCTCTGCTTTTGGGGAGAAGTTCCTCATGTTTTCCCACCAGGGCTGGGGAGAAGCTCATTGTCCCCTTCTGTCAGCGCAGAACCACAGCCCTGGGGACCCCGGTGTCCCGTGGGCTCCCAGCCAGGGAACAGCTCCAGCCAGAATCCAACCTCCCCCTGCCCCAACCCAGCCACTCTTTTAGGAATTGTCCAAGTGAGGGAAGGAGGACGAGGGGCTGAAAGGAGGGGTGCAGCCGGCGGGGTCGAGCGCCCGCAGCGCGGCTGCGCGGGGCCGTGCGCGAGTCAGCTCCGAGCCATTAGGGCTAATTTAATCAAGACGGATGGCCCGATTGGAGGGCTGCCGTCCATAAATCCCCCACTCCCGCTGCATTAATGTCAGGGCTCCCAGAGGAAGAGGCCGAGGGGGAGGCGGGGATGGGGAAACGTGCTAAGTCACCCATCCTCCTGGTGGCACCAGGCCACTCAGATCAGCTGCCACCCGCCCGTCCTGCACACCCTGGGGACACAGCCCACCGTCCTCCAGCCCTTCTGAAAACCTAGCAGCTGGATTGCGAGCAAACTGGGTTTGCTGAGCCCCAAAGGGTGCAGGGTTGTTCACAAATCCTGCAGGGCAGGGGTGCGCTCCCGTGGGCATCTCACCCACTTGCTCCAATGGGTTTTGCAAGGAAGGTGTGGTGCTGGGGGAAGAGGCTTGGAGCCCCATGGAAGGCTCCAGTGTGATAACTGGGACTTGGAAATACAAGCTGAGAAAGCCCCAAGGCTGATGGATGCAGCACCCACCCCAGAGCCCAGCAAAACATGCAGAACCCAATCCATACCAGACCACAACACCACTGCAGGACATCCCTAAGGAATACCAGCTCCTTTCTGCTGGCACCCCACTCCCTTCCCAGTTCTGCTCCTAGAAAAGGCCATCTTCAGCCTCAGAGTTGCCATCTGACGACCCAAAACGTGTCCCCCCATCCACTGGGCAGTGAGAGCCACACGTGCCAACTCAGGAAATAAACCCTCATCCATCCAGGTTAAAAATAGCCGTGAGCTTTGCCACGGCCATGCCTCGCCCTGACGCTCCAGCCCCATCCGAGCTGGCTCCCCTCTCCCCTGCCCAGCCAGCCCCCCGAGCTCCCAGCCCTGGGCTGGGGTCTGGCCGGCTCTGCCATCTGCTCGCCAGCACGGGATGCCCGCTCTGCCAGGCCACGCTGTTGGCCAGCAAAGGGAAGCAGAGGGCCAAGTCCTGGTGGGATTTGGGAGGACGGCGGGATGCCAGGGGATGCGGCAGAGGGAGGGGAGCATGGGTTTGTGGGCACTGCTCTCAGAGCGCTCACGGAGGTCATGGCAGGGGAGAAAGCAGGGGTGATAGCCCAGAGCAGAATAAAAGGTGTTTGTGTTACCAGGGGAGCTCAGCCTGGGAGAGCAGGCAAGGATGTCCAGGAGCAGTTGGATGATGGAGAAGGGGATGTTCAGACCTGTCCTCCACGTCCAGAGCATCTCGAGGGCTGTGCTGGCACAGAGGGAGCACAACCAAAAGAGCTCAGGGAGGTTGAGCCCAGGGCATGAGGAGCAGTGAGCTGTGGCACTGCCATGGATTTATCTGGAAATAGAGGAATGCACATCCCTATGCACCTCTGGTTTCTGGCTGTGCTTCAGCGAGACCAGGAGGGAGGGAGGGCAGGGAAGGAGCCCAGCTGGTGGCAGGAGGAGCAGAGCAGATGAGGTCGGTTGATTGTGGTGCATTTTTGGCACTATGAGTGAGGTCTTGGGAACCAGAAATTGCGGCACTGCCATGGATTTATCTGGAAATAGAGGAATGCACATCCCTATGCACCTCTGGTTTCTGGCTGTGCTTCAGCGAGACCAGGAGGGAGGGAGGGCAGGGAAGGAGCCCAGCTGGTGGCAGGAGGAGCAGAGCAGATGAGGTCTGTTGATTGTGGTGCATTTTTGGCACTATGAGTGAGGTCTTGGGAACCATAAACTGCTGATGGGGGCAAGAATTGGCCATTGCCATGCAGGGATGTGGAGCAGCTCTCCATAGGTTGGTTGCACCATGCCCAGCAGGTCTTGCTCTCTTGGCTCAGCACCTTTGTATCCACTCACCCAGGAAAGAACAGCAAAAGCAGGATTGGGCCTAAAGAACCATCAGCCAGGAGCAATAATCTGCTCCATGAAAAGCTGTGGAGCAGGTGAGCCATTTCTCCCCAGAATGGCTAGCACAGGGGGGAAAAAAAAAAAAGACATTTGTATTTCTGCCAGTTGACGAAATGAAATGCCACTTGTAGCCAGTGAAACTCTGCAGATTTTGCTAATGAAGGACTGCTCCATGCAGCTTCCAGCTGGATCCCAGCCCCAGCCACAACACGGACACTGGCAGCATCCCCCGTCGCATCCCAGCAGTGGTGCCACAGCTCGGGCTCAGGCTCCCTGCAAAGCCAAGCCCTGCCCCACGGCTGGGACACAGATCCCACTGCCACCTTTGCTCCCCTGTGTTTGCCCTGGGGACCGTGCTGCTGGGATGGCACCGTGTCCCTTGGGAGGCTCTAACATATCTTAGGAAATTTTCCCATTCTACTCAGCTTAATTTCACCCATTAGAG